TTGTGCGTGTCGAAGGGCTCTCGCTGTGGCGCCGTGCGAATGTGTCTTGAGCTTTGCGAACCCTCTGCGGAGATTGTCCGTGTCGAAGCGCTCTCGCTGTGGCACCGTGCGAACTTGTCTTACTTGTGGTGAACCCTTTGCGTAGATCCTGCGTGTCGAAACGCTCTCGCTGTGGCGCCGTGCGAATGTGTCTTGCTCTCGGCGAAGCCTCTGTGGAGATCCTGCGTGTCGAAGCGCTCTCGCTGTGGCGCCGTGCGAATGCGTCTCGCTCTCGGCGAACCCTCTGCGGAGATCCTGCGCGTCGAGCGCTCTCGCTGTGGCGCCGTTGTTTCGAAGCGGTGTTTGGAAGTTGTCTCGTGGTTTGCGCCTCTGCTTTCACGATCGCGCGCTGTCTCGGGTTCCACCTGCTTGGTCCGCGGCAGCTCCGGCTTGAAAACCGCAACTATTAGTTACGAAAGTAGTACGCGAAGAGCATTCCCAGGGCTCCGGCTGCAATATCGCAACTTCTCAGCGCGCAAGTAGTACGCAAAGTGCGCTTCTGCAGTTCCGGCACGAAATTTGCAAGTTTCAAGTACAAAAAGTAGTATGCGAAGCGCGCTCCCGCAGCTCCGGCCCAAAAATCGCGTGCTTTAAGTACAAAAGTAATTAGTGCGCGAAGAGCACTCCCAGAGCTCCGGCTGCAAAATCGCAAGTTTTAAGCACAAAAGTAGTGCTCAAAGTGCCTTCCCGCAGCTCCGGCTCTGGCTTGAAAATCGCAACGTTTATTTACGAAAGTAGTACGCGAAGAGCATTCGCAGAGCTCTGGCAGCAACTTCTAAGCGCAAAAGTAGTACGCGAAGTGCGCCTCCCCATCTCCAGCTCGAAAATCGCAACTTGCAAGCGCAAAAGTAGTATGCCAAGTACACTTCTGCAACTAAAACCGCCTGCCTTCTTGCGCAGCCAAACTGCGCACAGATATGGACAAGAGAGGTTGACAAGACAAAGGGACATAAAAGGTTGGGCGAGAGAGATTGCGCAGCGGCATGCGCGAGAGGGACCATCACGCACAGCATCATGCGTAGCATCATGCGCGGCGTCGCGCGCAACATCACGCGCAGCAGCGTCAAAACACAGCGTCGCGCGCAAGAGAAGTTGACAGGATAGATTTTTTGAAGCGCGATGCCAAGCTTGCTCATCAGAACTTGCAGACGCTACGAAGGGACATTGATGTGTAAATTTACGCTTGTTTCTCATCTGCAGTGGGAGAGGTGTCAGGGTTTACTTAACGTCTTTCGACGCTTCCGGGCCACCCGTCGTCAAATTGAACCCAATACTATTTGGGGTCTCTTGCCGGGATATTTTTTGTACATTTACTCAGGCATATACGTACACCGCTTTCTACACACATTCCATTTTGGTAAAACTGCTATAAAACAATCCCGTATCCAAAACTTTTGGATATACTTTTTGTTGACCCAAAACATGTGCCACATAACCTTCCTGTGCACGAAACAAACTCTGGCGGGATATGCTCTTTGTACAACGATTTCGTTGCTCGGGCATCCCTATTTGACATCTATATTTGTCCCATTCTCTGCCGATAAGAAATTGAGGGTGGGGGGTCTGCCATGTTATGGGCTTCTCTGTTTGTACCACTATTTCTTCTTCAGTAGTTCGGTTGTTTGCATTGGGCTTTTCTCCTCCACTTAGAACTGATAGTGTCCTTGAAATATGGTTCAGTTTGCAAAAGCAATAAATAGAATGGGCTGTTAGTTTGCTACGCGTCCCCAGGCACACATGTTCATCATGTTTACACATGCTTTACTCAAAAATGAGAATATATATCAAACATAAACTAGTAATAAAAGAATAAGAAAGACCAGGGGCGCCAAAGACAGACAAAGGGCGCCAAAGACTAGGAGGCCCCAAGAAAGAAGAAAATCCTGCGTTTTAGTTTCCCTACTGAGGGAACAACTGCAACCACCACCACCACCACCACCACCACCACCATCACAACCACCAACCACAACCACCACAACCACCACAGCCACCACAACAACGACAACCGCCACAACAACCACAACAACCACAACAGCCACAACAAACACAACACCACTACCCCCAACCCCCTATCAAGGGGGCTTAGGTTCCACAAAAGTAGGAGCTCAACTTGAAAGAAGCTATCTACACCAACCCCCTTATGAGGGGGCTAAGCTTCAACCACAGCAGGAGCTCAACTTGAAACAAGCCATCTACCCCCAACCCCCTATCAAGGGGGCTCAGCTTGGGTAGATTGACTGTGCAGAAAGCTTTATAAGAAGCTTTACAGTGAGTCATCACAAGCCTTGTAAGGAGTTTTGTAAGCAGCTTTATAAGGGGCTTGATAAAGGAAATTGAAAGGAGCTTTACAAGAATTTTAAGGAGCCTTATAAAGTCCAGATACCCAATGCCGTAGGCGCCGTGTCCAGCCGACCCTGAACGCTTGCGTCCCCCCCTTGTTCACCAGCTGGACCACCCGTTCAAGCGCCACCGCCAACAAGGTTGGATCCGGGAGTGTAGCTCCAATCTCCTGCGCCCGCAAGTAATACCTTCGCGCTCCGCATAGCTCCTCATGTTGCCAAGGTCGGTGGGCTTCCCGGCTGGTAGGTGACCAGGAGTCTATATAGCACCCTCGACGGTGATCTTGAACCTCTCCAACAGCGTTGATAGAGCTGCTTTGCTTGCCCCATGGTCCAGTCCACCAGCGGCCGATTGCCACCAATCATCACCTTTTACCCTCAATCTCCTTCCTCAATCTCCATCTCCCTGGGCGGCTCGCCTTCCGGAAGCCTCGTCCCTCCTGGTGTCATTCTTGCACTTCTCATCGGCGATCTTGGTGGAGACCTCGACCTGGGTCTCGGTGTTCTCTCTGTCCTTGGAGGTGGCGGCGGCGGTGGAGGTGGCACCACCATCATGTGGGAGAGCTCCATCGGCGCTGTAAATACCTCTGCTTGCTCAGCCTCTCCGCTTCCTTCTGATCATGCATGCCCTTCCAGTACCCCGCCTCTCCTTGCCACCCGATGAGCTCATCGTCATCCCGCCGAACCCTCTCCGGGACCCAGACCTTGTGCTCGCCGTTCCATATCCAGCCCAGGTTCAAAGGAGCCAGATTCCTTCTACGCACTTGTCGCTGTCTGTACCCTCCCGGCAGGCAGAACACCTCTGTTCCCTGTCCTCCTACATGCAGCTTCCCACAGTCGCTGGTCACGAAGCTCCGGATCTTCCATATCTTCAGGTTGTTCCTCCTGTGGTTCTTGCCATTCATGTATTTGATCTTGTTCTCCGCCTGGCCGTAGAGCTCGCGGGTCCTGCCTCCAAGCTTCGCCTTCTGTCCTGCCCGGACCACGTAGTTCTCCTTCTCTTCCGACAGGTCTTTCCCGCATAGCACCAGGTCTTCCGACAGGTCTTTCCCGCATAGCACCAGGTCTTCTCGCCTTTCCCTTTCCGGCCTCATCCCCATCACCGGGTCGTCGGCCTTCACGTCGTTGAAGCCCTTCTCCATTCCCATGTAGTCGAGCTCCTTCATCACATTCTCGCCCATCACCCGGACGTCGCATTTCATCTTGTCAACCTTGGCCTCCACCATTGGCCATCTCTGCCTCTCTTCCAGCCCTTTCCAGGTCTGCGGTGAGGTCCTTCTTCATCTCACTCCAGCACTCTTCACCGATCGTCCGGCTTGACTCCGTCTCGGGGTGCATACCAATCTGCTGATCTCGCCCTTCGAGTCGCCACCGCCAGGCTCTTCGTGAAGAGCTTCTCCAAGCTTCTGATCTGTTCCCGGCACCGGTGGCAAAGTTCGGCCGGCTCGCCCTAAGCACCGCTTCTTCTCGTGCTTTTTGGCTCCAGAAAGGGTTTACCGCAACCCCCATCTGAATTTCTCTTCCTCGTTCTTCCGCGCGGCCCGGTTCCTCCTCCTGTTCATGAACATCACCACCACCCTCCGCCACCATGATGCCCATGCCAGCGTCCGCGCTTCTTGTTCTTCTCCTTCTCATGCCCGCGTCCATTGTTCGCGCGACGAGGTCAAGCTAGTTTGGGCTCATAACCCTCAGCACTTCCGGGGCAGCAGGCTTGTTTTCCACCTGCTTGATTGTCAAAAAAGGGGCTCCGGAAATGAATCCATCGGGCTCGGAAACCAGCCATTTTCGGGGTTGCCCTTTTTGGAGACAAACCCAAATACACCAAGGAGTATCCCCAACAACTCAGGAAGCTCCCCGGCACTTCTGATTGAAACCTGCAGATGGTTCGTTCTTGGGATATAACACCCGAAGCCCTTAGCAGCCTAAACCTACACCACAAAATCACAAGCAACCCTAAACTCAACTTAAACCTGAACCCTAAAGCAAAACTACCAAAGAAAACAACCAAAGACCCCCTAAACCCCCCCAAACAGCTAAGCCTAAACCCTCAAACACAAAACACAAGACCTCAAACCTAAGATCGACGCTAAAACAACCCCCAGCATCGTAACTCCTAAACCTAAACCCTGAATTTTCTGAATCTAAGCCTCAAACCTGACTTCAACCCAGCCCCAGCCCCTAACAAGACAGCAGCAAAAGCTATGGAAATTGCACGTTCTTTCTACCAAATAGACACGTGGGAACCGATACAAAATTAAAAGGGGAAATCCTGAACAAAGTCTGGATCACCTGAAAAGACGCTTTTGGGGTTCAAGCTCTAAGTTTCAGCCGTGTTCACAAGCGGACTAACCCCAGTTTCCCCAGCTACAACCATAGAATCATAGTTACAACCTAGGGTTGAATATTTGCGGATTGGTCTAAGGAGGACTTCCTTAGCCTCTGAGTTGCTTTTGATTTCAAGAGCCAGGGACAGGAGATGCGGCAAAACAGGTGGCTTCTAAAGGGCATCCACCCAAGTTCGTTTTGGTTTCCCTTCGATGCTCCAAACAGCACACCGGTTGAGGTTAAGCTCGACATGTGCAACGGACTACGTGTGTACGGAGATCTTCTCAGACTCCGAGCAGCTCGGCCACGGAATCCGAGTCCCCTGCGAAGTGGCTTGGAAAAGGGCATGTGCAAGGCCGAATAAAGGGGTTTATAAGAAAGACTCGCCTTGTTGGACAACAGGGTTGATTCTTTTTTCGGAAACCAGACTGTGCCAGAATTTCACCGAGTTGCTTTCCCTTCGTTGTCCCCTACAACACAACATTGCCTCCCTACAAGCCGGCTCCTCGAGAGGCAGCTGACTCGACCACCTGCAATTTCATGTCCTTCTCTGCAGACCTCGGAAGAAGGGGGCGAGGTGCGAAGCGGAAATGGCCAGAGTTTTCGGGAGAGAACTGGATCTTTCTCCATCGGATGGATGCCACAGAGGTAAAGCCTCGCTTTTCCGCCTAACAACTAGTAGCGGCTGACTTATGTGTCCTCTTGCAATTCCATGCAAGAGCTTCTCCTTGAAATCATCTGCCGCCCCCCGCTCAGCCCACTCAGTCTTCTCCTGACCACAAAGGCATTGCCTTTCACAAGGTTTTTTCAGGGGCCTTCGCGACTGTCTCTTACTTCAATCAGGATCAAGCTTGTGCCGAAGGCTGCCAGAACGCATTTTCAAAAACATCTGACAGTGAAAATCCGAATGCCCCCCAACTATCCCTATCGATCATTACCTCAGCTCTAGAAACCAACAAAATAGAACTGGGGTCCTATCTTATTCTTCCATGCTAATGTATTCAAGGCGTGCGCGTGCTTGAAACACTCTAATTTCTTCAAGGTATAGACTTGCTCCACATACTGCTTGCGCAACAACGGCAAACCCCAATACTCACTTAGAGCATCAACAACCAACAGAATTTGTTTCCAGTGCTGCGATTTCCAAAAAAGAGCGTAGAAAGGACTGACTAAGCAAGGCAAGTGGAGAAAACAGCGTTAGCCAAACTTGCTACTACAAATGGCTGGACGAAGTTTTTGAGAGTCTGTGCAAAATAGCCGTGGGCGACAGGTGGAATGAACAAGGCGCGATCCTCCCCTGTCCCAAGAAAAAGGCCCATCCCTTCGCACTCAGGGCGCCCATGCGACCTATGTGCCCTGAGGCTCCCAGCAGGTTTGATGCTGTCAGCTGCAGCTGCTCGCACCACATTTTTCTCTACCAGGTATTGAAATGAAATGCAACGCTATGTAATTGGTGGAAAGTTGTAGTGAGCAATGCCATTGTATGTATTTTTGAGCCACGTGCGTGCTCCAGGGAATTTATTCCTCCGAATTTTGAGCTGAGCGGCAAGTGCATGGCAGGTCAAGCAATATGAAACGTTTCTCAAAGAACGGCGATGGTCAGTGCCGAGATACGGTATCGTTTTCTCATGTGGTCCTTTCAGGACTATCCAAATGCGAGTTGCAAACGCACAACTTACATTTTTATTGAATGTGCTGACCGCGTTCCAGCGGCGTGCGACTTCTGAGCCAGTTGAGCCATGGGGCATTTGTGTGTGTGTGTGTCGAGATGTGTGCCTGCAACAGCATCCTGGCTTCAGGATTTCATGTGCGAGCCCTTGTCAACGCCATCTAGCCAATAAATCAGTACATACATACATATATATATATATATATCATATCAAATGTACCAACAGCAACACACATACTATTATCGATATCTCTTTTTTTTTTCTTAAAAAAACCAATAAAAACATGTTTTTTCATTACGTGTTTCTTTTTGTTGTTTTAATCAAGCAATTATATAACATATTTTTTCAATTATAATAATAAATCAAAACAACAAACAACACATAATACATATTCCCATCCCAAAAATACAATCATTATACCACCGACAAATGCCCACTCGTAGTATTGTCGATTGCTCATATATGGATGAACAATGATGAACATTAACCTTACACACATACTATGATTCAATCCATACATGAACTGCTGAAAACGCAATATCAGCCATTCAGCAGAATTCGTTTTTACTTCTTGGGCTTAAATAAATCATCTTCGTCGCTGTCGTCGCCGAAGAGCGATGCCCTCGCATGCGTTGGCCGATGCGCAAATCAACTCATGGTCACGCGCGTCCAAAACATGTGCCTTGTTCATGGTAGGCCCCCCTCCACCCATTCAACCATTCTTGCAAACAGGTGGACAGGCAAGTTTTTTCTGCACAAACAAACGCATCTTTTGGTCTCGCGCGAGAGTTGCACCGCCTTTGGTCTTGGACAGCAGGGTATGTTCCACTGGGACCTGAGGAACGCTCTGAATGCTGGCTGACAAGTTTTCAGCATGTGGTCAGAGACCAGCGTGTGAACGCAAGCCCTTCCAGTCCTCAATCAGTCTGCCCAAGCCACGCTGCACCGACACCGTCCCTCCCGGCGCTTTCCTCGATCAGAGAGCAGGTTGCCATGGGATCTTGGATGTTGATGTAGTCATTGGGCAGCGCTTGCCAAGCAAACCCGCAGCAAGTAACTTGGAGCTGGCGGGTTCTTTTGGTAATCCACTGTCCATTTCATCCTGCCAGCTCCTTTTCACAGCGTGTGCACCGGCATTGGAAGCCCCAGTTGCCAAGTAGATACTCCTGGCGATCTTGTGGTGCGCGGGCCAGGAAAGCCGTGTCCCAGCCCCCATAGGAGAGCAGGATCTCCTCCTGGCACGTGTGTCTCCCCGTCAAGCCACTCGCTCAGTTGGATCCAAACATTCCAAACATCCCCCAACGCAAAGGCCTAGGATCTTCGGTAAGGGCAGGCCGTCTTTGCGGATCCCTTCAAACCAAACGCCCAGCACCTTCCAGAGAAGTTCAACCGCTTGACTCCGTCAGCACATGCCCTCAGGTTCTGACGGTGGGCAGAACGCAAAGGCTTTCGCTTTATTGGATTTGTCTCGAAATTGAGCGGCTTTGGAATGTGCCGCAAAGCGAACCAAGTTGAAAGGAGACACACCTGGCGTTTGACTTGAGATGCCAGAGACGGAATGGAATTCCAGCTGCGATCCCCTCCCCCAATCGATCTTTGCAGGTTGTGCCGCTTGTCTCGCCTGAACCTCGATGCGACGAACAGCCTCCAACCGCCCGAGCCCAACTTCCAGCTGCATCCGTACCTCACTCGTCCAAAGGTGGGAGAAAAAAATGCGATCACCTTTTGTTGGGGGCCCAAAACAGGCCCAACAAAACCAGCAAAGAGCACTAAACATGGAGCAAAACGGGCCAAACACGGCCGGCCTCTCTAAAGAGGGGAAACTGAAAGGCCCCTTGCGTAAAAATGCACCAAAGCTGAAACCAACAGATTGAAACGTCAGAGCAGGAACTAAGGCACGTTGGGCTCGCAGGAGTGGTTCACCCGACTGATGGTCCCAAAGAGGGCGGTGACCTGGCACCTGTCGCCTGCAAAGAGGGGAGGTTGGTAGGCAGTAAGATGGACGTGAACTGGATTCTGTTCTTTTTCTGTGCGTGCCGTTTTTTGGGTTGTTCTTGAGGGAAACCAGAGGAACACCACCTGCTTCAAAACTCTTTGAGACGCACCTATTCGGAGTTTGCAGTTGGTGACAGTAGATGGCACCTATTTCTCTCATCTACCATCTACTGTCCCCCAGTTTCATGTCGCTGGGGGGTTGGGTTGATGTTTCAGGTGTGCCTTTTGCAGGTATCAGCTTGCCTTTTTAGTGTTCTTCAATTGGTCTTGAGGGTTTGTTTGTGAGCGACCTTCCATTTCCCTCGGGGAGGGGTCCCTTGCCTCCCTTGCCCAAAGTAAGAACATCTAAGAACTAACACAGGTTAGCTCAAAAAGTAGACCCGGACTGGAGAACATAAGTCAAAGGGCCCTCCATATGGTAGAAAGACCGAAGCGTAGACCGCCAACAAATCAACACCTGACAGGGGGATGCTCTGTCTGAGAAGGACCCCCCATTTAGCTCAACTTCACCACTTATCACTGCGTTTGTCAATCCTCGGTTCATTTGGTGGCCCATTTACGGGAGCTTTGCTTCTGGGGTGATGCACCCCTATTAATCCACCAGCCTTTGAAGCGGAAGCAGTTGGACATGAGGACGGCCTGAGACAAGGGCAACTCCTTTGTTCAAGAGTAACGCTCTCATGGCCCAAGTTGAAGCAAACAACTTGACTTTTGCAGTTACCCCAGATAGAAAGAACCAAAACACCTAAACAACTTACCAAGAACGGTGATCTCACCCTCCTATCCACAAACATGGAGCCGCACCGGGGGGGGGGCCCTGGTCCTGTAAACGGGATCCTCTAGGAGTGTAATTTCACTCCCTGTCCCCTCAAATCATGAGTAAAACATGCTTTAAAGTTTCCCCAAACACCATTCGACATATCCGCCGACAACAGACGGCGTGTTGGACACAAAAAATGCTCCTTACCTCTTTACCTGTTACCCCTCCCCTAACCCCTCCCCAGGGGCACCATTTCAGGGGGGGGGGGGTCCACGTACCACGCGGTGATTCGAAGACGCTTCACTAAATCTTTGCGCAACTCAGTTTGTCAAAAACATTGGGGTGTTCGATTCCCCCCGGGTGCGCTTTCGCATCCTTGGCAGCTCCAGCGGCACATCGCCAGCATCACCTGCATCATCCGCATCAGCGCCTGCCAAGGATGCGGATGATGCAAGTGATGCTGGGGATGTTGCCCATGCTGGTGAAGGAAATGAAGGGGGGAAAGGGGGAAAGGATAAAGGGGGGAAAAGATCTTTGGGAGGAAAAGGGAAATCTTTCTCGGGGGGAACAGGCCTTAAGGGGCAATGGGGGAACAGGATCTCAAACGGGAAAGGGGGAAAAAGACTTTGGGAAGAGAAGGGTGGAGATCTTGGGGGGAAAAGGCCTTAGGGGGGAAACGGGGGAAAGGATCTTAAGCGGGAAAGATCTTAGGGAGGCAAAGGGAGACGAACTCAGGGAAAAGGACTTAGGGAGGAAAGGGGGGGAAAGATCTTTGGGAGGAAAAGGGAGAAGAACTGAGGGTGGGAAAAGGCCTTAGAAGGAAAAGGGGGGAAATAAATGATCTCAACAGGGAACTGGGGGGGGGGGGGAAGATCTGGGCAGAAAGGCCTTAGGGGGGAAAGGATCTCAACAGGGACAGGGGTGGAAAAGATCTTAGGGAGGAAAGGGAGAAGATCTGGGGAAAAAAGGCCAACAGGGAAAGGGGGGAAAAGATCTTAGGAAGGAAAAGGGAGAAAGCTCTCAGGGGGGGAAAGGCCTTGGGAGGGAAAGGGGAAAAAGGATCTCAACAGGGAAAGGGTGGGAAAGACCTTAGGGAGGAAAGGGGGGGTCTTAGGGAGGAAAGGGAGAAGATCTGGGAGAAAAGGACTTAGGGGGGAAAGCCCAACAGGGAAAGGGGGGAAAAGATTTAGGAAGGAAAATGGAGAAGCTCTCAGGGGGGGGAAAGGCCTTAGGGGGGAAAGGGGGAAAAGGATCTCAGCAGGGAAAAGGGGGGGGGAAGATCTTAGGGAGGAAAAGCAGAAGATCTGGGGGCAAAGGCCTTAGGGGGGAAAGGGAAGAAACGATCTCAACAGGGAAAGGGGTGGAAAAGATCTTAGGGAGGAAAGGGAGAAGATCTGGGGGAAAAAAAGGCAACAGGGAAAGGGGGGAAAGATCTAAGGAAGGAAAAGGGAGAAGCTTTTGGGTGGGGGAAAGGCCTGAGGGGGGAAAGGGTGCGAAGTCAACAGGGAAAGGGGGAAACAATCTTAGGAAGGAAAAGGGAGAAGATCTGGAAAGGCCTTAAAGGGAAGGGGGGAAAGGATCTCAACAGGGAAAGGGGGCAAAGGATCTTAAGGAGGAATAGGGAGAAGATCTCAGCGGGGGGAAAGGCCGTAGGGGGGAAAGAGGGGAACGGATCTCAACAGGGAAAGGGGGGGAAAGATCTCAGTGAGGAAAGGGAGAAGATCCCAGGCAGGGAAAAGGCCTTAGGGGGGAAAGGGGGCAAGGATCTCAACAGGGAAAGGGGGCAAAGGATCTTCGGGAGGAAAAGGGAGAAGATCTGAAAAGGCCTTAGGGGGAAAAGGGGGAAAGGAGCTCAACAGGGAAAGGTGGGAGAAGATCCTAGGGAGGAAAAGGGAGAAGATCTTGGGGGGAAAGGGGGAAAGGATCTCAACCAAGGGAAAAGATCTTGGGGAGGACAAGGGAGAAGATCTCAGGGGGGGAAAGGCCTTAGGGGGAAAGGGGGGAAAGGATCTCAACAGGGAAAGGGGGCAAAGGATCTTAGGGAGGAAAAGGGAGAAGATCTTGGGGGGGAAAACGCCTTAGGGGGGAAAGGGCGGGAAAGGATCTCAACAAGGAAAGGGGGGAAAAGATCTTAGGAAGGAAAAGGGGGAAGATCGCGGGGGGAAAAAAGGCCTTAGGGGGGGAAAGGAGGGAAAGGATCTCAACAGGGAGAGGGGGGAAAACATCGTAGGGAGGAAAATGGAGAAACTCCGAGGGAGAAAGGGCCTTAGGGGGGAAAGGGGGAATGGATCTCAACAGGGAGAAGGGGGGAAAGATCTTGGGAGGAAAAGGGAGAAGATCTCAGGGGGGGAAAGGCGTTAGGGGGGAAAGGGGGGAAAGGATCTGAGCAGGGAAAGGGGGGAAAAGATTTAGGAAGGAAAATGGAGAAGCTCTCAGGGGGGGGAAAGGCCTTAGGGGGGAAAGGGAAGAAACGATCTCAACAGGGAAAGGGGTGGGAAAGATCTTAGGGAGGAAAGGGAGACGATCTGGGAGAAAAGGACTTAGGGGGGAAAGCCCAACAGGGAAAGGGTGGAAAATATCTTAGGAAGGAAAAGGGAGAAGCTCTCGGGGGAAAAGACCTTGGAAAAGGAAAGGGATGCTCAACAGGGGAAAGGGGGGGAGATCTTTGGGAGGAAGGGACCGAGATGCGGGGACAAAGGCCTTTAGAGGGAAGAAACGATCTCAACAGGGAAAGGGGTGGAAAAGATCTTAGGGAGGAAAGGGAGAAGATCTGGGGGAAAAAAAGGCAACAGGGAAAGGGGGGAAAGATCTAAGGAAGGAAAAGGGAGAAGCTTTTGGGTGGGGGAAAGGCCTGAGGGGGGAAAGGGTGCGAAGTCAACAGGGAAAGGGGGAAACAATCTTAGGAAGGAAAAGGGAGAAGATCTGGAAAGGCCTTAAAGGGAAGGGGGGAAAGGATCTCAACAGGGAAAGGGGGCAAAGGATCTTAAGGAGGAATAGGGAGAAGATCTCAGCGGGGGGAAAGGCCGTAGGGGGGAAAGAGGGGAACGGATCTCAACAGGGAAAGGGGGGGAAAGATCTCAGTGAGGAAAGGGAGAAGATCCCAGACAGGGAAAAGGCCTTAGGGGGGAAAGGGGGCAAGGATCTCAACAGGGAAAGGGGGCAAAGGATCTTCGGGAGGAAAAGGGAGAAGATCTCGGGGGAAAGGGGAAGGGATCTCAACCAAGGGAAAGGATCTTGGGGGAGGACAAGGGAGATCAAGGCCTTAGGGGGAAAGAGGGGGGAAAAGATCTTAGGAAGGAAAAGGGGGAAGATCGCGGGGGGAAGAAAGGCCTTAGGGGGGAAAGGAGGGAAAGGATCTCAACAGGGAGAGGGGGGAAACATCGTAGGGAGGAAAAAGGAAAAACTCAGAGGGAGAAAGGGCCTTAGGGGGGAAAGGGGGAATGGATCTCAACAGGGAAAGGTGGCAACAGATCTTAGGGAGGAAAAGGGAGAAGATCTCGGGGGGGAAAGGCCTTAGGGGGGAAAGGGGGGAAAGGATCTGAGCAGGGAAAGGGGGGGAAATATCTTAGGGAGGAAAGGAGAAGATCTGGGGGCAAAGGCCGTAGGGGGGAAAGGGGAGAAATGATCTCAACAGGGAAAGGGGTGGAAAGATCTTAGGGAGGAAAGGGAGAAGATCTGGGGGAAAAAGGCCAACAGGGAAAGGGGGGAAAGATCTAAGGAAGGAAAAGGGAGAAGCTCTCAGGGGGGGGGAAAGGCCTGAGGGGGGAAAGGGTGGGAAGGATCTCAACAGGGAA